TTTCGGCGGTCGCCCGCCAGTCGGGTTTGGGTCTGATTCTGGTTTCATGTTCTGATTGGGTTTGTGTTTTGATATATATTGAAACACATTTTTTAGGATTTAGTAAGGTTGAAAAGGGATTATTTTGGTGCACAGAAAAGAGAGTTTTCTGAGCAATTTGTTTGGGGTTTGTGTGAGTGATTTGAGAGCTTTGTTTGAGAGATTTTGAGTGATTTTGTAATCTCTATTTGTACTCTCTTCTCTATTAGTAAAAACTCATCCCCTTCTTACCTCGTGGGCGTAGGAAACTTGCCGAACCACGTAAAATTCGTTGTTTGTGTTCGTGCTGTTAATTTTGTGTTTGTGTGACATTTTCTCTCGGCGACTTCGTGTTTCCTTGGACCCCAAAAAGAGGCTTCAGAACCTAATATCAGAGCACCAGACTACGCTTGGGTTAGGTGGAGGAGTAGATCTCTTTGGAAGCTCGTCTAGGGTTTCAATTGGAGACAAATGTGGGATTTTTACTATTGTGGATTTTGTCTTCCATCGTGTGAGTGTGAGATCTTTTGGAGGTTCTAGTTAGGGTTTCAATTGGAGGTAAAAATCTACATTTCTCGTAGTTTGGATTTATTTTTTAGTTTGTTCCGCATTGATTTGTTAGTGTTTTGAGGAAGATGGCTGAGAAAAAAGGAGTTGAGAGTGATACTTCTAGCGTAAAGATCGTTCAAAGTTTGAATATTCACTTTATGAAGATAAATAAGGAGAAGTTTAATGTCACGATCAACTTTGGCTTATGGAGATGTTGAATACGCTAAACGTGTAAAATTTGGAAGACACTTTGGAGTTGGACGGCAAGCCGGACGACATTAAAGAAAGAGTTTGGAAGAAGATGAATCTGATGGCGTGTGACGTGATTAGGTCTTGTTTGACGCAGGTTCTAAAATATGATATGATCAATGAGACTTCTGCAAAGAATATTTGGGAGATTTTTGATGGCAAATATTTGACGAAGAGTGTTGATTATCGCTTACATTTGAAGAGGAGACTTTACCGTTTCCAATTGAAGAAGGAAATCTCAATTAGTGATCACATGAACAACTACACGAACCTTCTTGCGGATTTAGCGAATGTGGATGTCATGATTGAGGATGAGGACAATGCATTGTTGTCGATGAGTTCTTTGCCTGATGAGGAATATAAGATCTTCGTTCTTACCCTAATTAATGGAATGACATCTCTTTCGTATAGTGAGATTACCGCTGCTCTTGTAATTATCAGCTAAGAAAGAAGGACAATGAGTCTTCAAATGATACAATAGCAGAGGCATTGACCGTAAGAAGGAAAAGTCCAAACCAAAATAGGAGGTCGCAGTCTAGAGGAGCACATCCTTCAGTTGGTAGAAATCAATATGTTTTTTGCAAAGAAGATAGATATTGAAAGTCTGAATGCCCAAAGTTGAAGGATAGAGCCGGGAAGAATAAGGGGAAACCCGTACAAGCTTCATAGGTGAATGTTGCCAAAGCTAGTGGTGACAATTCAGATTCGGATTCTTCGGGCTACTCATGCCCATCACTACCATCAGTTTGTTATCCCGACTCTACGGAGTAGGTGATGGATTCGGGTGCTACATACCATATTGGTTCTTCAGGTTTGAGGAGTTGGAAATAGGGGATGTTGTGCGCATAGTTAATGATCATGTATGCCCTATCGGTGGTATTGGAACAGTTCGGATCTGGATGTATGGTAGAGTGACTAGGGAGCTGAAGGAAGTGAGATTCATTCCGTAGTTAACAAAGAACATCATTTTACTTGGAACTTTAGAGGCAGCAGACTATAGGTTGGTCTTAGAGAATGCAATTTTGAAGGTCACAAAGGGGTCTATGATTGTGATGAAGGTTGTCAGGAAGAATAACTTGTACTACTTGATTGGAAGTACGGTGACAGGTGGAGTGCTGGCGACTTTTATTGATTCGGCTAGACTGTGGTATTTGAGGCTGGGACATTCTAGTGTTGGTTCCTTGCAAGCTTCGGATATGCAAGGATTGGTGAGAGGTGCTTTGACCTGCAATTTGAAATCCTATGAGCATAGTGATATGAGCAAGAAGACCGAGATGAAGTTTGGTGTCTCTATTCATCGAGCTAAGGGCCTTCTAGATGATGTTCACGTGGGCGTTTGGGAGCCTTCTAAGGAGGCATCATTGGAAGGTAATAAATATTTGATTTTCTTTGTTGATGACTGTTCTAGGCATGTTTGGGTTATAACCAAGTCTTGTTTGAGTGAAGTACTAGTAGTCAAAAACCGGTGGAAGAAGTGTATAGAGACCAAAACAGACAGAAAGGACAGAGTACTCTGTTTTGATTTTGGTGGGAAGTACAAGAGAGATCCATTTTTGCATTTGTGTCGAGTTCAAGGCAGTTTGAGATGGTTTATTGGAAAGGAAACATTGGGGCAATAAGATGAGGTGGCAAATTTGATGAGTTGTTCCTTGTTGGAGAAAGATTAGTATTTGGTATCAAGCAGTAGTTTGAAGAAGAGTTTTAATATTGAAGCTTTGACATATTCGAGCCATCTTATTCATAGGTTGCCATTTGCTACGATTGGAGTATTTTGGTCTGTTGGAGCTGCTTTAGATTTTGGTTTGCTTCGTATATTTGGGTTCCCAGCATATTATCACATCAAGGATGTGAAAATTGATCCGAGTGCATATTTAGAATTTAGAGGCGTGTTTGGCTACATGTTATAGGACTTCGTTTCCAAGAAGATTGTTCTGAGTAGTAATATCACGTTTGATTCTCAGCAGGTGAAGAGTATTAGTCAGATTAGAGATGTATCACAGCAGGTGAAGAGTGATGCTATTTCGCGTTGGGTAAAGATTACTCCACGTTCTCTAGATCATTCTATATTGTTTGGGATTCTAGATGAGGTCACACAGATTGGGGATTATGTTGGTGTGGATACAAATGATGAGTTTGAAGATCAGGATTCGAGTGCAGCAGGTAGAACAGTTTAGATTTAGTTATGGTCGTTGGCTCACCTCAGGTGGAGGTGTTTGGTAATTGTGTTTCTTCGACATATAGGGTTGAGGGGTTAAGCTCCAAGACAGATTTGGTGTGGAGAGATGTAAGTTTGGAAGAGAGTTTGTTTTTTCACTTTGAGGCCATTAGGAGTGTTATAAGCTATAGATTTATTGATGATGACCGTGAAGTTGGTGAAGGGTTGAAAATCCTTCTAGTTGATTGAGGGTCTTTGGAGGCCATTTGGGGTGAACTACGTGAGACTTAATTCTTTGGGCAAGATGATTTGTAGGAAGTCATTTTGATGTAACCAGTTTGATGAGTTGATACCGACATTTTGAAGTTTGTTCGCATTCTCGTTTGGGTTCTCGACTTGTTGTGCATTGAGTCCGTTGTCGTGGATTGTTTTCACTTCGTACTAGACACAACAAGTAGGACATTTGGTTGGTATTGGTGTCGGCTCAGTTTTGGAAAAACTTCACCAAGGTGGAGAATTGTAGAAACGATGAAAACGAGGTTGAAGTTCAGGAAATTTAACGAAGGAAACAGTTTGGAGGTTTCTTGGTCGACCGTGACCAATGCTGCGATCGACCGAAAACGTGCATGCTACAGGGCAATTTTCTAGTTTTCTGTCTAGTTGATCGCGAGGCTAGGTCGTGGTCGACCGCAGACCCTGTAATATATTTTTTGGTTTCTATCGTTCTGTCCAGTCGACTGTGATAGTTTCGACGGTCGACCGCCAGACAGGTTTGGGCCTGATTCTGATTTCCAGTTCTGATTGAGTTTGAATTTTGATATATATTAAAACACGTTTTTTAGGGTTTAGTAAGTTGAAAATAGGTTATTTTAGTGCACAGAAAAGCGAGTTTTCTGAGTAATTTGTTTGGGGTTTGTGTGTGAGATTTGAGAGCTTTGTTTGAGAGATTTTGTAATCTCTATTTGTACTCTTTTTTCTATTAGTGAAAACCCATCCCCCTTTTTGCCCTGTGGACGTAGGCAACTTGCCAACCACGTCTTCGTGTGATATTTTCTCTCGGCGACTTCGTGTTTCCTCGGACCCCAAAAAGAGGCTTCAGAGCTCAACAAAGGAAAGCTGAGAAAAAAGTATGTAAAAAGAATCTGTAACCTCTTCTAATTTGCAATGTGCTCATATATGTTAGTATTAATTATTCTATCTCCGATTAGCAATAGTGACATGCCCTTCAGAGAGAGGTTTTTTTTTTCTTCTTTGAATTTTAACCCTTCTCAGTTTCCAAAATGGTGTGATGAGAGGGAAATTTTAACTAAATGTCAATGATCTAGGGGTAAATTAGCAAATATTATTTTGTGATTTTTCAATTATGCAGATTTAGGGGTACATCTGCAAAATGATATAGATTTGACTGGTATATGTGGAAAAAAAATTAGTTTCTTTTGTCCTACAGTGGACATGTATGAATTTTGACACGAGAACTGAGTTATGCTTAACCTTCGTGCTTATAAATGAATGATCTATATTCTTTGTAAAGAAGACAGATGTCACAACTACTAATATATAGTTAATTCTTGTTCCATTCCTCACCTTATTTTTTCTACCTAATAGTTAATTCTTGTTCCATTCCTCACCTTATTTTTCTTTCCTTTTCACTGTATTCTTTCTCTAGAAGCAGGATGATGACCAGCAATATATTGAAGATGAATGAGATTACTATGGGGATCAGCGATTCAGTATAGTTACTTCGTTCTTGTTCTATACTTTTAACTGATTGACCTGTTTGTTCAACAGCAATAGATTCTTGACATCCAAAAATTTTGATTTATTTTGATTCTTTTGATATTTCACATTTATGTAACCCTGGTCTTTTTTTGCTGCTGTTGTTGTAGGCAGTGTTGCCGAGGTGGACGAAACCAAAATCTGCAGGTTCCTATTAGAAGTTAAGGTGTCGTTTGGCAAAGGGTTAAGTGAGGGGTTAAGGAGACTTAACCCCTTCTTAACCTGCCAAACACAACAAATCTATATAAGGGTTAAAGTGAGTTAACCCTTCATAATTTGCCAAACATAAAAAATATAGAAGGGTTAAGTTAACCCCTCTAGAGGGGTTAAAATGAGTTAACCCTTCAAAATGAGGGGTTTACTAATACTCCTATTTAGATGGAATAAGAGTTAACCCTTCTAATTATAAAGAAAATAGTCAAAATCATTGTTATTCCCAAACACTAAAATTGATCATAAGGGCTAAAATAAAACTTATTTAACGGGTTAATAATTTAGTCATTCGGATTATCAAATGGGCTAAGTACATTAATCATTCTCTTTAACCCCTCTTCATTAACCCTTTGCCAAACGGGGACCCTGAGTAAAGTCTCAACTCCATGACTAGATTCATAACCTCTGTTACATGGGTACTTCTGAAGTTATACCTATAACCGTCATGTACTCGTAGGCGTACTTGCACCCAGTCTACTTTGGACACTTCAAATATATTCACAAATTTATTTGAGCGTGTACTCAAATATATAATGCATATTTTAATTTTAAAAACTCGCCATATACTTTTTGGACATATATCCTATGTTTCACATCAACTTTTGGACATGGGTCAAATTTGTTTCAGCCCATATCTAATTAAGAACTATGATTTTAAAGGGCTGTTTAGATATCTAGTTTAAAAATGAACGGTTTCCTGTTTAGCTTCACTTCACTTATAATTGGCCCCGTGTGGTGTTCTAAAGAGGAGGGGAAAAGCTCACCTTGTCCTGCTCATCTTTGACGAGTTCTTGCTGTAAAATATCCAACAATTTCATCGGTATTCGTGCCGGCTTCTGGGTGCGTTTCCCATCAAATATTTCCAGCAGTACTTCAATTGACTTCTCCTGTCTGGTTTCTGGTCGTTTCTGAGATTCAGTGACTCTCTCTACTGGAGCTGAAGCGTCAGCATCGTCTGAGTCTGGGGTTACTGGTGGAGGAGACATAGGCGAGGGCCACCAGTGAGCTCTGGCCGTCAAGTTTGTGCACATCACGCCCAAAGTGCATACGAAGACCACTGCTGCCACCGTCGATTTTGCTAAGCCTCTTCTCTCATATTCTTCCTTCGTCTTGTTGACGTTGTTATCTGGAGGAGTCAGGCGGGCCCGAATTGCTGGATTAATTATCGTACGGCCAGGCCTAGCTCGAAGGCCATTGCCGAACAACGGAGAGAAATTTAGCGCTAGTTGGCAGTCACGAGGGATTGCTTGGCGAACGGGATGTTGGAAGTGATGGTTCTTGACATTAAGGCTTGTGGTTCGGTGGCAAAGAGAGGCTTGCATGGTTGTGCTTTGTTTTGGTTGGCAATGTTGGTGTTATTGTCTTTGTGTAGTTAGGCAGACAAGGAAATAGAAGGAAATGAAGGTTCGCTCTTTTTTTGATCTCCTTTGCCTCGCCATATTTTTCTTTTTCTTTTCTCGTTCTCACTTTATCTCTTTTGATTTGAGATAGCAAGGAACCTTTGTTCTGTTTCCGAATTGTAACCAAGCAAGGTATCATCCATCAATGAATTTGCAATACAAGAAAGGAAGATCCTTCATGAAAGTTACCTGGGAAGTCTCTGTCTATTTATTTTGCCATCTTACTGTATAAGTTTCGTGTTACATATTAATATACTGTACAATGAAACTGTACAATTCAAGGACTTCTCTTGCTTGGAAAATTTGAAACTCACCTTCCACCTGCGTGTATCACATGTTCGAGCTACAAATATGGTTTCAATAGTGGAAGTAGCTGCGAAAAAATCTGCTAGTGTTAGGAGTCAATAATGATCTTATAGGATCAAAATTTTGAGTTCATCATTGTTCTCGTTTGCAGATTCTCCTAGAGAAGAGAAGATGCAGTTAAGCTGACTTTGTTGAGTTCGAAACGAGCAATATGGTTGGCTATATTATACAAATTTTATAACTTCCTTTTTTTCATGCTAAGAAGATGCGTACTATAATCATCAAGGTTTCCTTTTCCTTCTGTGGCCTACCAAAAGCTGGTAAAGTAAAAGATGAAAAATTCCATTAAGAGAAAGTATGATAAAGAATTGAATTGTAGTTGAAGAGAGCCAGCCTAAGCCTCCAAAATTTTGAATTTGAATAAGCTGGATCTCATAGAAAGTTGTTGGTTGTGTGATCTATAAACGCGATGAAGGAGTAGGGGTCCTGTTTTGTTGTTCTCTTTACCATAGGCAGAGGGCTATCTGAATGTGGTTGTGTCCATAAAATGATAACTTCTTGTTAGGATACACACCAATAAGAATACCTCGAACGGAGACGCAATACACAGAATAAATGCACAAAATCAATCACAGTACTCATAAATATACGTGGTTCACTCCTTCGGAGGTACTCCACTGTGCAACGATGATGTCCAGTTCTTTTATATTCCAAAATAATTGGATCAAAAAGAACACTCTCTTGATCAAGATACAATCCAAGAACTCTCACAAACTCTCTCTATGTTTCCTCTCTTACTATTCTATGAGAGGAGTTATTTCTGAATGAATTTTCCTGAAGAGTTTAGGCCATATTTATAGTTTTTGAGAAATACTATGCACTAATAAAATATTATTAGTGGACCCGCCACTAATAATAGTTTATTAGTGAGACTCGCCATCCTTTTAATTTCTTAACAAAAGTGGCACCGAATTCTTCCTTTGTCTAAAAGAGTGGGCTGCTGACAAAAAAAGGTGAGCGGCTGACAATCTCTCTCTTGAAGATTTGATTGGGTATCAATCATATCTTCACACCATTCTTGGTTGCATCATCCGGATATCTTGTATCTTTAGCGTCTTGTACAGCCCTTACATTCTCAACGGAGGCCATATGAGGCAGCACACAACATCACCTTCTCGAGCGAAACTGGCTTGGTCAGCATATCGGTTGGATTGTATCCCGTATCAATCTTTACAAGCTTGAACTTGTTCCTTCTTTACCATCTTCGTATGGCATGATGCTTCACGTCAACATGCTTGGTTCGAGCATAGAATGCGTCGTTCTTTGATAAGTGAATGACACTTTGACTGTCGCAGTGGATGAGGTATTTCTCAAAGCTTACCTCAAGCTCGAGAAGAAAAGCTTTTAACCATAGAAACTCATTTACTGCCTCTGCTGCAGACACGTACTCTGCTTTGATTGTTAACAAAGCCACAATATCCTGTAACTTGGATCTCCAACTTATCGTTCCACCACTCAAGATGAAGATGTAGCCGCTCGTGCGTCTTCTTGAGTCTATGTCCTCGGCGTAGTCTGCATCACAAAATTCCTCTAGTTGCAAATCCGTCCCGCCATACTCAAGACAACGGTCGGACAAGCATCTTAAGTAGTGTAGAAGCCACTTGACCGCACCACAGTGTTGCTTCCCCAGATTGCTCATGAAGAGGCTCACAACTCCCACTCCTTGTGCAATATCTGGCCTCGTGCACACCATCGCATACATCAAACTCCCGATGACAGATGCGTATGGTATGTTAGCTATAAACTCAAGCTCTTCAACAGTCTCTGGTGCTTGGGTCTTAGATATCTTGAAATGGCTCACAAACGACGAGCCCACCGGTTTAGCTTTCTCCATGCCAAACTTTTCATGAATCTTCTCAATGTAGGCTTTTTGAGACAACCTTAGCCTCCATGCTGATCTGTCTCTGATGATCCTCATCCCAAGAATCTGGTTTGTTAGACCCAGATCCTTCATCTCGAAGTACTCGGAGAGACGCCCCTTGAGCTCCTCAATATGGGCCAAGTCGGGCCCAATAATCAACATGTCATCAACATAAATCAAGAGTATCACATAGAATTCGCCATACCTCTTGATGAAACAGCAGTGGTCTGTGCCACATTTGAGAAAACCGTTCTCCTCCATAAAGTTCTCAAACTTCATGTACCATTGTCGCGGAGCTTGCTTCAGACCATACAAGCTCTTACGCAGGTGACACATAAGGCCCTCCCTGCCTCGTTCCTCGAAACCCACTGGTTGATGCATATAGATATCTTCCTTCAAATCTCCATGAAGGAATATCGTCTTTGCATCCATCTACTATAGATGGAGATCTCGAACTGCCATAATGCTCAGCACAGTACGGATCGTGGTTAACTTGACGACGAGAGCGAAAATGTTAGAATAGTCCATCCCTGCTTTCTGCTCATAGCCCTTCACTACAAGCCTCGCCTTATAGCATCTTCGTCCATCGGCTTCATCCTTGACCCGATAAATACCGATTGTGAAGAGCCTTTTGTCCTCTTGGAAGCTTTACGAGCTCCCAAGTCTCATTCTTCATCAAGAATTTCATTTCTTCCTCCATGGTAGACTCCCACTCGCCCCGAGCTTTGCCGATCTACTGTACCTCCTCATAGCTCTCTGACTCACCACTGTCAGTCAGGAAAAGATAATTTATGGTGGAAAGGTACATCTTTGGTACCCTCAGATTTCTTAAAGCTTTGCGAATTACGATCGGCAACTCTGCTGAATCCTGCTACTATGCATCCAACACGTTCTCTTGGTCTCCGTCTTCTATGCTAATTGGTATCTCATCGCCCTCCTCACTGTCAGCAATATCTGGGAAAAGAGGGGGAGATAGCTGACTCCCACTCACCTATTTGGTCTTGTACACCATATTCTCATGGAACACGATGTCACGACTGTGCACCACCTTGCGCACATCGTGTTCCCAGAAATGATACCCATACTCATCTCCTCCATAGCCGATGAAAGAGAACTATTTTGACTTTAGATTAAGCTTTGACCGGTCTGTAGAATTGGTCATGACATATGTGTCACAATCAAATACTCGTAAGTGATCTAGCTTCAGCTTCTTTCTGGTCCAAGCCTCCTCAGGTATCCCATAACTGAGAGCCGTGGATGGCCCACAGTTGATTAAGTATGTAGCAGTATTGACAGATTCGGCCCAAAAACTCTTGGTTAAGCTGGAGTGGATCCTCATACTTCTGGCGCGCTCCAAGATAGTGCGATTCATACGCTCCGCCACTCCGTTGTGTTAAGGTGTGCCTGGGATGGTCTTCTGTCTTCTAATCCCATAGGACGATCAGAAGTTCTCGAACTCCTAGCTGCAATACTCACATCCATTATCATACTTTAGGCACTTCAGCTTATTGTCTGTTTCATTCTCCACACAGGCAAGACACTTCTTTAAAATGATAAAAACATCTAACTTGTGCTTTAAGAAGAACACACAATTTTCTAGTAGCATCATCAATAAAAGTGACAAAGTAAAGAGAGTTGCTAACAGAACAGATTGGACTTGTGCAGGTCCCCACACGTCGGTATGCACCAACTCCAATTTCTGTAGTTTTAGAGCCGGTCCGGTCTTGTTGAAGCTCACCTTCTTTTGTTTACCTAGGATGCAGTCCTCATAGAAAGTCAAATCGATCTTGCTCAGACCCGGAAGCCTCTCTTCCGCGGCCATAATCTGCATCACGTTCTCGCTCATGTGGCCAAGTCATCAATGGCAAGTCATGCAGTTGATAGATGATGATGATGATGCTTGTCTTGCGGTAAGCAAGTGGTCGATCTTCCCATTGGTGATATAGAGAGACCCCTCGCGTTTGTAGTGTGCCACCATCAGGACACCCTTGGAGACCTTCCAGCTTCTCTGCTCGAAGGTTACTTTTTAACCAGAGTCAGTCAGTTGCCCAACTGATATAAGATTTCGACTGAGATCCGGTACATGCCGAACGTCGTTCAGCGTCAATGTGGTCCCGCCCTCCATCTTAAGGGTACAATTTCCCTTCTCGGAAACCTTACAAGGTTGATCATCGCCAAGATAGACTATCTTCGTACTTGCTGATGGTGGAACAGAAACTCTACAGTCCCGTACAAACTGACCTTTCTTTCTGCATCTCAAGCACTTCCCTTCACCGTAACCATTCGGGTTTGTCCCTTTAGACTTCCCTCTGGATTTTGATTGGCCTCGTTGTCCCCTACCCTTCTTCGGCCTACGCCCTCGTGCCTCAACATGCAGAGCACTCCTACTGCTATATGCCTCAGCTCTTGAGACTTTGCGGTGAGATTCTTCTTCCAGAATTGCCCCAATCACTTTGTCGAGCTTCATCTTGTTATTACCATTAGCGTTGCTCACCACCATCACCATATTCCTCTATGAATCTGGTAGACAAGAAAGTAGCAGAAGAGCTTGGATCTTATTATCGAACTTGAGATCTACTGTAGCAAGTTGTTGCATCACAGCCTAAAATTCGTTCAAGAAGTTCGCCACGTGAGCTCCTTGCTACATCTTTAGATTAAACAGCTTCTTCATCGGGTACACCTTATTTGAAGTAGATGGCTTCTCATACAGCACCTCCAATGCCTCCATCAACTCCTTGGTGGTGGTCGCATGCGAGACGTTGTAAGTCACATACTGGTGAATGTTGAGCCTGATGGTGGCAAGTGCTTTACGATCGAGTATCTTCCACTTATCGTCGTCTATTTTTTTAGGTTTCTCCGCCTCTCCTTGGAGGGGTAGGAAGAGATCT